GGCGTTGGCAGCTCACGCTGGAAGGGGCCGGCTGTTCCTAGCTGTGGGCCTCGGGCAGGGCTGACCTCTCTGGGCTCGCTTTCCCGGGGGTGAGATGAGGCAGCGAGGACTGCCCTGGAGCTGCGGCGGGGCGGGCAGTGCGCAGGCCGAGCGCGCCAGAGTTCCGAACTGCTCGGAGGTCGGGACTGTTTTGAGCGCCAACACGCCTCCCGCGGCAGATCCCACACCTGACCCATGCGCCGGGTCGCGCAGGGCTACCTTCAGATTGCGCGAGTATGACGTAGGCGGAGCAGAGGGAATTCCGAGATATCTCATGTGTGTGCAAATATCCCAGACCCAAAAAGATCCCCATTCAAAGCGCTTGCAGTCCCTAGCACTTCAGGAAGGGACCCCACCTTCAGCAGACTTGCAACCTTACATTACATTAGGAACTCTGGCGGGACCAGCAGTTAGCGTAATGGCTATGTCGCTGGATTCCCATGTAATCGACCGCGGTTCGAGTCCGGGAACTGGTGGCTTAAAACTCACACCCGGCGCGTGTGCGTGCATGCCCAAGATCCAGAGAGGAGAGTGGAGGAGAAGGGATTGCGGCGTGGCCATCCCCCCTGGGGGGTGATTTCTCAGCTCTGAGGAGGGGCCGAGGCACAGAGAGGTTCAGTAACCTTCCAGGGTTGCACAGCTAGCCACTGGAAGAGCTGGAACGTGTGTCCGGGGGGCTGGTGCAGGAGTGTGCGCTGAAGTGGGTCGGCGGCCGCTCCCAGGGGACAGGGCTAGACTTACCGCTGCCCCAATCCGCCGTGTAAACGCTCCCACCGTGCGTGAGGACGCCACAGGGCTGGGAAGAACTGTGCGGTCAGCTCTCGGAAACCCTCGGGGCCACCTGTGCCCACGCCTGTGTGGTGGTTTGGACCCGCGGGAAATGACAAGCAGTTCGCGCTCATTCCCCGGGCCTTGATCCTGTAATCTGGGTTTGTTTCTGAGGATCCGAAGCTCCTGCATCGCACGTGTTAGAAAGGACTCACGGAGGTGCAGGAGAGGCTGGGGCTTTTCTAAGTGGGCTGCACCTGGGGGAGGGCATTCGAAAGCCGGTAGCTGGCCAGAGGACACAAAGGTGCAGGTGACAGGGAACAGCAGGAGCAGCGTGCTCCCCGGGCACCCGCTCTGTGCCAGGCCCTGCACGGGCGTCGTCTCAGCCCCACCAGCTTAAAGCGGTACATTTTTACCTGTTAAGAGCAAGTCTGGTCTCTAGCAACTGATGTAACCATAGCAGCCTAAAGCATAGGGCTTCAGTCTCTCACATAGAAACATGTAGGTCCAGAAGAAATCCACAGCTGGTGTGTCAGCTCTGCAAAATCATGGGAGACCCAGGCTCCATTTTTCTGCTCCACCAGTTTTAGCTTTTTTTTTTTTTTCACTTCATGGTCCAATATGACTGCTGGAGCTCCAGCCATCACATATAGCATCGAAGCAGCAGAAAGAAGATGCAAGAAAAGAGCCATAGAGCCTTTCTGAAAGCTCTTCCCAGTGCCCTACTTTCATTCCATTGACCACCTCTCCCTGCTAGGGAGCTCGAGAAGGCACTTCTCAAGTAGGCCTACTACACAAAGTTCTTTCCACTTCTGACACGGGAGAGCAGTATTAGGTAGGCAGCCTGCCTCTCTTCCACTATTTGACTTCTACATTTTTGAAGGAAGTGACTTGGCCATAGTCACAACCCAGAGCATGGGATGCGAGCTGAGTGCTTGTCATGGTGTGTGTGTCCCAGAGAGGGAGGGAGAGTGCCCCTGTGGGTGCAGCCAGGGCCCAGTCCCTTCTGCATTCTCTATCCTGTCCTCCTGTCAGGATTTGGAACATGCTTGCACACGCGCCCACTGTATTTTTTTTTTTTTGAGAGGTTTTTCACTATAGGGCACGTGCGCTCGCCAGACAGACAGAGACATAGAGACAGAAAGCCAGAAATCACCCCCCGGGGGGGATGGTCACGCCGCAGTCCCTTCTCCATTCTCCTCTCGGGATCTTGGGCATGCACACACACGCACCCGGCGTGAGTTTTAAGCCACCGGGTCCGGGACACGAACCGCGGTCGACTACGTGGGAGTCCAGCGACATAGCCATTACGCTAACTGCTGGTTCCCGCCCACTGTATTTTTCAAACTGCTGGGTCCAGGATTTGAACCGTGGTTTGCCATGTAAGATCCAGGTCTCTGTAACCGTTGTGCCATAGGGCTAGCCCTTGAGCCTGGCTCTTAGCTGTGACGTCCATCTCCCTTGGGGAAGGTGAGATCTCCGTTTTGGACGTGAGAAACCCCCTGGCCTCCAATGTTCGTAAAACAGCACCAGCAGCTCCCAAGGCTGAGCTTTGCTGTGTGGCTTTAGCGTTTCCTCGACCTCTCTGGGCCAGAGTCCTTCCGACACAGTCCTACCCCGCAGGGAGAAGGCCCAGGAGCTGTCGGACTGGATCCACCAGCTGGAGTCCGAGAAGTTCGACCTGATGGAGAAGCTGAAGCAGCAGAAGTATGAGGTGGGTCCCCCAGGGGGCGCCTGGGCCAACCTGGGCGCGGCGGGCAGCGGCGGGGGGGGGGGGGGGGGGGGGGCCCAGGCCTGGTCCCAGCACCGCTCCTGCCTCCCTCCAGATCAACGTGCTCTACAACCGC